CGTCAGCCGGCCACTACATCACAATGATGTGCCGGACATCATTTTGGGGCCGGAGCTGGAGCTCCTCCCAGATGATGCATTCAGGAGGCGATGGCGGAGGGACAGAGGTTGGCGTTTGGAAAAATGGTGGAGCTGATTCTCGGGCGGAAGGAGAATGCAGAGCGGGCCAGGCGGCAGGCGCGATTAGTATAGTGAGGTGACTGGATTTGTGGGCTGAAGGTCAAATATCTAGGGTGGTTAGAGGCCCCACATATGTACAATTATTATGTATGTTAATATTTGTTATGGTGAAGAAACAATACGGGTTCGGGTGGCAGTATTGTGCTAAACAGTTCCCACCCTTTCCCGGTTTCAAAAGGGGGAAAAAAAAAAGGCTATATTATGTAATACTGCTGTAGCAATAATAATACTTTGTGATAAAATAATTTTTACATTTATTCCTGTATCTAATAATGAAAACCAACTTTTCCGAACACCGTAACTTCTTTTAACAGTATTTCTAGTCCTAATTAATGACTCGTTATATTTAACTACAGCTTCTTCATAAATACCAGAGGCTAGATCAATAACTGTTAGGGCTTCCAACCAAAGTCATAACATATTTACGTTGCGCATAGCCACTATCAGCTACTAAAACGCAGTCCCTCATTTCGCCAATTTGTAATTTCCTTCGTATTTCTGAATTATTGAAAATAGTAGAAGCATGTGATGAACCAGGCCATCGAGCTACTATGTCTTAAATTTTTAAGTTTGCATCACAAATTGTCTGAACATTGATTGAGAAAAAATTCTTTCTATTTCTATATATCTCTGCATTATTTCCTCCGTTGATTTAATCATGACGTGGGTACAATCTAATGCGCCAATAACCATTGGAAATTTAGCTATGTTGTAAAAATCTTGTTTTACTTTTTTTAAATCATTTTCATTGTTGGGAAAATTGACATACTAAGGACTTAATATAGCAATGTTATGAAATTGAAAATTTGATAACAAAAATTGAAATTGTGAAACTTGTTTCACAATACGACTTGCAGTCGATTTATGAATGCCAATGAAATCTCCACATATAATTAACATTGATCCTGTTGCATAATACCTTAGATTTAGGAGCACTTTATCCTCTGGACTCACAGCATAAATAATAGTTTAATTAATAGTTAGTCAATTACTATAACTAACGGTGGTACTAACATTTGTATACGTCGATTCGTTAAGGCGCTAGAGCCAAAGAGAGATAGCCGCGTGACGTCACAAGATCACACGGCGCGGCGGCGGCGTATACTTTTACACAGGAATCGCCGACGCGGTCTAGATTATTTATTTATAACTTTTGTTATATTCAATTATATTATAAGCAACCTCGTAGTCACAACAATAAACAGACGTACCTAGACAAATGATAAAGGCGTACAGTGTGATTTAGGCAATGAATGCTACACATTTTTTAAGCCTACAAATGACATATCCTTTGAAATAGAAAACCAAGAAGAAGAAGAAGAAGAAGAAGAAGAAATTTATGAACGTAAACAGACACAGCAAAAATCATCATCAAATATAGAAGATAATTCTTGTTTTTTTGTATTTTGGGATTGTTTATTGCCACTTTTTAATCGTTGCCGTCAGTGTAATTCTACTGTTGTATCCGTCCAACATTATATCCAAAGGGCATTACTATCTGTTATAACTATATGTGATAGAAACCATAAATTAATTTGGCGTTCACAAAATAAGAGTAATAAACGTCCATTAGGAAATATACTGATTGGATCTGCTTTGACTTTATCCGGAATTCTGTACACACAAATGGTAGCTTTCTGTGATTCATTAAAACTATCATTTTTTTCTCGTCCGGTTTATGATAAAATAATTAAGCGTTATACTGGACCAGTCATCTGTAATATTTGGGAAAATCAAAAGAAAAGTACAATTGACAGTATTAAAAATTCAGAAAATGATATTTGGTTAGCCGGAGATGGGCAGTATGACTCTCCAGGCTTTTGCGCCAAATATTGCATCTATTCAGTAATGGATTTACGTAGTGGAAAAATAGTAGACTTTAAACTTGTTCAAAAAGGTATGGTAAAAGGAGACTTAGAAAGAAAAGGTTGTGAATTATTACTTGATGATCTGACCAAAAACCAAAATTTTAATATTAAATTGTTTCTTACTGATCGACATAAAGGAATTCGTTTTTACATTAGAACACAACATCCTGAAATACAACATGAATTCGATGTGTGGCACCTATCTAAAAGTTTGATGAAAAAAATGAAAACCTTAGAAAAAAACATGAAGATACATATTTATGGAAAAGTAGTATTAATAATCATCTTTGGTGGGCTTCACAAAACTGCAAAGGTGACGGTCAATTATTAGTTGAAAAATTCACGTCTCTACTACATCACATAAAAAATGAACATGAATGGGAAGAAAATAGAGTAACAAAAACATGCGATCATGATCCATTAACAGACAAAGAAATAAATAAAAAATTATGGTTAAAATCCGATGACGAATCATACTATGCATTAAAAAAAATTATAACTGCCAATGATTTTATAGAAGATTTGCCACATGCAAAACATTTTGTGCACACTGGCCGTTTGGAATCTTATCATAATGTAAGGCTAAAATACATGCCTAAACGAATTCATCTGAAATATAGAGGTATGTACATAAGATCCATCATGGCTATATTGGACCATAATTACAATACAAATAAACAAGTAGTAGGTGATAAAATGGTATACTCGAAACCGTTAGGGAAATACACAATAGAAAATGTATATGAGCGTACTGATAATGATTGGCGAAAACAAATTATGGAAAAAGTACTTGATTTGGCAAAAAAAACAACAAACGAATATAATATCATAACAATACCAGAAGAAATTGAAATTCCTAAGTCCATAGCTCCAAGACCAAATATTGAAGAAATACGGTCTAAAAGATATTCGAGATTTACAATTTAATTTTATAATATTCTGTTCAAAATGTTTACATAATTATTTTTAGTTTTTAGAACAATAAATATATTATATTCATCTAATCATCTGTATAAAGTTATATATTTATGTGAAATATCGAAATAATATTACATCAATTTCTATTCTAAATTCTAATAGCATAGTTAATAAGGGTAATAAAAATTAATTACGTACATTTAAATTTAGTAAAACGACAAAACATATACTAACATTTATTAAAACCCACAGACTTATGATATTTGCCTTAATTTTTAATTTTTGTTGAATATAATAAAATATATAAAAAAATAACCAAGACCGCTTCGACGATTCCCGTGTAAAAGTATACGCCGCCGTCGCGCCGTGTGATCTTGTGACGTCACGCGGCTATCTCTCTTAGGCTCTAGCGCCTTAACGGATCGACGTATACAAATTTTAGTACCACTGTTAAGGTACGGTTTCCTATCTGCGGCTGGCCGCAACGACTAGTCGCAACTACTGAATGCTGCGTGCCGACTGGTTTCCTATATGCGACTTTATATTTGCGGCTGGTGTATAATAGTTCATTTTATTCCAATATTTAGTAGTGTGCAGACGTGTTTAGTTTATAACTTTTTATTTTAATAACTATTGTTGTACCTTACGAATTGTACGAACTGTGATGGAGGAAATTATTATTAATAATAATACAATAATTAGTCTTCTATTAGAGGAGGAAGAAGAAGAAGATGATATGTATAATAATCGATTAGAAATTAATAAAAGAAAATCAATCGACAGTTTTTTTACAACTCGAGAAGATGAAGGTTTTTTTGAAATTTTAATAAATGGACATTTACATAACAGTAAACCGAAATTCCGTGAATTTTTCCGTATAAATTATGACCAGTTTATGTTCATTCTATCATTGGTAAAGGATGATATAACATTACCTCCATCTAGACGAGTTATAAAACTAATTCAACCGGACGAAAAATTAGCAGTTACTTTAAGGTAAATATATTTAAGTAAGCTACTATATAGTTTTGATTAATTTTAACCAATTACATTGCACTTGAAAATTAAAATATTAAAATATCTCATTTTGTCCAAATTTTAATTTAAAATATTTATTAAAAAAATAGTGTTTTATATTTTTTATATATTTTGGTTACAGTTCAATCCTTAGTTATAAAAATAGAACATTTTATTAACTTCAAACTCAAAAAATTTGGTTAAAATTTTAACTTCAGACGCTGAATTTTCACCAATAACTTTTTATGAACAATGTTTTACATTTACATTTATTAAATACCTGCAGAACATATAATTTTTACAAGTAATTTTTAAATATTGTATTCCATTAATTATCATAATTAATTAAAACAAGTAGTTAAATTACATTTATTAAAATATTTAAATTATGAAGTACTTTAATAATAATAATAATTGGTAGTTATTGTAATCATATCAAATTCGTACACTAAAATACTTAACAACCGTGATTAGAATTTATTTACCTATATTTCATAATAACAAACAATATTTAAAGTATTAGTTACCTATATGAAACAATTAAAATATTTTGTTTAATCCATAGGTATCTTGCAACAGGGGAATCGTTTAGATCACTGTCGTTTGCATTTAGGATTTCACATAGCTATATCAGTCTAATTGTCAAAAAAACACTGTCAGCTTTAAAAAAACATTTAACACCTATATTTCTTCCTGATATATCAACCGTAGATTTTAATGTCAAAGCTTCAGAATTTTGGACAAAATGGAATTTTCCAAACTGTATTTTGGCAATTGACGGAAAACACGTTAGAATAAGAAGTCCTAACAACACTGGATCACTTTTTTTTAATTATAAAGATTATTTTTCAATTGTACTGCTCGCTATGGTTGACGCCAACTACAAATTTATTGCTGTAGACATTGGTTCGTTTGGTAGAGAAGGTGACAGCGGAATATTTTTAAAGTCGAACATGGGTAAAAAAATATTAGATGGGTCATTTGGTTTTCCAGAAGCAAAACAATTACCAGGGTCATCAACAATTTTACCTCATGTTATTGTGGGGGATGAAGCCTTTAGGCTTCACACTCATATAATGAAACCATATACAAGACAAGCCTCAAAAGATGATAAGACAAAGTCTATATTTAATTATAGATTAAGTCGTGCCAGACGAGTGACGGAAAATGCGTTTGGTTTATTGAGCCAGGTTTTTCGCGTCTTTTATCAGCCTATAAACATTGAACCATCAACATGTGATGACCTAATCACAGTAGCTTGCTGTTTGCATAACATGCTAAGAGATGCATATTTAGAAGAAAATGGACGAGCATTTAGAGAATTTGATTCAAGAGAACCGGTACCAATTAACAATATAATTCCAATTACAAGAGGAGGTGGTTTTGCAAACGCTGAAGGATTTGACGTCAGAGAAGCATATAAGGACTTTTTTAATAACGAAGGCGCTGTTTCATGGCAGAATAACCTGTAAATTATTTATATTAAGATTGTATTATTTAACTTTTACATTTAAATATCAAATAATAAAACGAAAAAACTTTATGCGTATTAAAATTAAAAACAATATTCCTTATGACATTATTTAATATTATGTATACTTTTATTTCATTAAAATATTAAAAACAACCTGTTAATTAATAATTTTTATGATATACATATATTTAGATATAGTTAAAGTTGGTTATTGTACATATATGGATCAAATCCTTGAGAAGTAGCCGATGATGAACTGAGGCTTGGCGATGGTGTACTCGAAAGTGACATAATATTGTTATAATCTGTAGACCTAGAGGGTGTTTGAAACATCATTTGAGTGGGTGTTTGGAACATCGGTTGAGTGGGTTGTGCTCCAGTGTTATCTAGGTATTTATCTTCGAGCTGTGCAACCAAAGATAATATACTAAGTTTAGCTTCACTTTTGCCTCTGGGAGGTAGCTTCTTCACTGAAATTGCAATGCTCTTAAAAAATAAATCTATCTCGTCAGTAGATGATTCTCTACCCAAAATTGCTTCATTTTGGGCTTGTATGCTATTTATTATTGCTGTTCTGTCGTTCATTCTTTTAACATAGGCTAATTGTGCATGCTTGGCTCTCGATCTTTTCCCGTGTATGACCTCTTCAGCTGTTTCCTCAGTTGATTCATTCAATGGATCTCCGGAATTATCTTGGCTACTTTCAACTATTGTTGAGTCTTGATCATTGCAAACATTCGATACCGTACTAAAATATTAAAATGTATAATCATTTTCTTTGGAACATAAATACTTTTCATGAAGTGGCTACGAGAAAAAACAGTCGTATCATCAGGGTTAGGATTTGTATGTATGCAATAAAAAATTGTACAATATAATATATTATATGTAATATATTATATATTATATTATATTATAATATGCTTCTTATTTACCAAAATTAAAAATTATTGATTTATTTTTTGCGTGCATTAATTATTATTTTAGTAATACAATTTATAGTTTTCATTCAATATAGTAGAAATATGTGTTTTATTAATAAAAATAAAATTTATGTTTGACCAAAATACCAAGTTATAAACTTTGATCAGTTTAATTATTACCAGCTTAAATACAATAAATAAAATCATACTAAATAAGCATTAAGCTCAATATATGCAAAATAAAAATAGTACCATTTTCGTAACAATAATATAAATCGCGAACATTATTCACTTAAACTCTATTTGGCGTAGCAAAAAAAAAACATGCTGTTGTATACAAATCCTAGACCTGCACTGCTTATCATCATATAAATAATTTAATATAACATTATAACTCTAGTAAAATTTAAAGTTATGAATAAAAGTACGAAATTGATATATTTACTTACATTCTTTCATACTCAACATTATCCAAAAATGACAAATGACCAGCTAAAGGCCATTTTTTTTTGGACAATATGGCCGGAGATCCAGTACCAAGTTTTTTTTTGTGCCTCATGTAGGTATCACGTATATTCCGCCATCGATATTTACAATCCTCAGCTATAATACGAATTAAAATGTTTATTCACTGAATACATTCTGAGCTTTAATCTTATCTATTAGAATGCAACGTTCTAAAAATTGTTAATCTATATATACTTACATGATTTTCCAACTACAGCCGAAATATTGCTCCAACATTTGCTTAAATAACCATAGTCTTTGTGTTTTTCGAGAGAACTGTCATAAATAGCGCGTTCTTTTTCTACTTCAACAACTAAAATTTCGTCCTCGTTGGGCAAAAATGTTGACATTATAGTTTTTGGCATAATTATTTTATATTGCGTTAAATAACTAATAGTCTTCGATACGACGCCGTTCATGACACACGTCTTTAGAACTTAGTCAATCCAGATGCTTTTTGCTCAGTCTTCCGTTGGTCAAAAATTTAAATTTTTATACCATTGAATGCGCAACGAAAAAAGTCATCAGGTTCAATTCTCATACAGTGAAACCAAATTTGAATCAGTACTACACTCCTAAAAAAGTGGTAATTATAATTGCAATTAAACAACAACCTTATCTACGCACACCGACCAGCCGGCGCGACACCGCGCCTCTCATTAAAGGCCGTTATCTCGGCATCTTGCAACGATAACGCGCCTCACGCAATGAAACCCCTAGGGCAACCCAGCCATTCTATTAAAACAAAAACAAAAATAAATAAAGATAAGTCTTCAACCAGTAATCAAAATACTTCACAATCTGAACGTATACAGAGTGTGTCAAGTGATGTCTTTACTCCTGGTGTAGAAATAGATGAAAGCAATTTCGAATTTCCAAATAACAAACATAAACGTCTCCTTTCCTCACCAAAATCTGATACGCAAGAACACAAGAGAAATAAACCAATGTTTATTACAGCAAATCGTTACTCTCCTCTCTCCACAGAAGATAATATCATTGAGTCATCTGACACTCACACACACGACACTGCAAATATTGAAGTAGATCAACCTGCTAAAATAAAATTACCTCCACCAATATTTATTCGTGGAATTCTGGACTTCGTCGGCTTTCGGAATCAACTCATTAATTTGATCGGTTCTGAAAACTTTGTATTTAAATCATCCACAAATAATTTGAAAGTACAAACTACTCAACCTGAATTCTATCGGAAAACAATTCACTTTCTAAAAGAAAAACAAGCTCAGTACCATACCTATCAACCACTGGAAGATAAACCGTTCAGAGTCGTAATCCGTAACCTACACCCGTCAACACCAACAGTCGAGATAGGAATCGCTATAGAAGAAATTGGCTTCTCGGTACGACAAGTCACTAATGTTATTCAAAAAACCACAAAAAACAATCTTCCAATATTTTTTGTCGATCTTGAGCCAGCAGCAATCAATACTGACATATTCAACGTAACCTCGATACTCCACACTAAAATAAAAATTGAAGAACCACATAAACGGAGAGACATATTACAATGTCATAACTGCCAAGACTATGGTCATTCTAAAAAATATTGCTCCTACTCGCCAAGATGTGTTCGTTGCGGAGATGAACATCCATCCACCCATTGCACCAAAACCAGGGATTTGCCGGCCAAGTGTGCCCTTTGCAAGGGAGACCATCCCGCGAATTACAAAGGTTGTCAAACATACAAAAGTCTCCAACAGCTTCGTAAACCCACCTCAAAAAAAAATAGTAACTATACAAATAATGTTAATTATGTTAATAATTCTAATATTGAAGCCACTCATCAGCATACTTCCAATACTAATACACCATCAAACTCTCCCAAATCATATGCACAGGCCGCCTCCCCAAATAATTCTTCCCAAACATCAAACAGTCTTATAAATGACAATACACTCCTCAACTTCCTCAACGAATTCAAATCGCTTATAAATCCATTACTCTCTCTCCTCACTACTGTTCTCGACCGTCTCTTAAAACCAAATGCAAATTAACTCTTTTACATCTCCATCCTTAGCCATCCTTATGTGGAACGCCAATGGCTTATCCAATCATAGAAATGAACTTATAACTGTACTAAATGACAAAAGAATAGATTTGGCCCTGATTTCTGAAACACATTTTACATCACACACTAAATTCTCAATACCCGGCTATAATATAATTACCTCAAACCACCCGGACAACACGGCCCATGCGGGAGCCGCAATTATCATTAAGTCTTCACTCTTGTATACCCCCTGCCAAAGTATACAAGAAAACTACTTACAATCAGCAATTCTAACCATTAAATTAAATCATATACCTGTTACAATCGCAGCAACATCCTTCCCACCCAAACATAAAATTACACTAATTCAATATGAACACTTTTTCAACTCATTGGGTCACTATTTCATAGTAGGAGGTGACTTAAATGCCAAAAACCAATTCTGGGGCTGCCACACCACTAATTCTAAAGGACGTACCCTACTTCAATTAGCTAATTTAAAAAAGTATTCTATACTAGCTCCCCCAGATCCAACCTTTTGGCCAACGTCAATAAGTAAGCGCCCCGATATATTAGACATATTTATAATTGTTATCCCCAACAGTTTCCAAAATATTATTAAAAACTTACTCGAACCATGCTCTGATCACACACCAGTTCTACTTTCTTTAGATGCTCAACCCTCCACCCAGCCCCGTCAACCTAGCTTAACGAACGGCTCCATGGATTGGGGAAAATTCCGCGAAATCTTAGAACAAAAAGTGGTACTAAAAACCCGTCTTAAGCACCCAAATGACATAGAAGATGCTATCCAATATTTTACAGAAATAATCCAATCAGCTGCTTGGAGCTCATCTACTCAAACCTCTCCTAGAAGCCAAAACTCCTTCCCGATTCCCATCCATATCCGTGAACTAATAGCAAAAAAAAGACGTGCTAGAGCTATCTGGCAACGCACTAGACTTCCATCCGATAAAAACATATTTAATAACCTCGCATCTTCAGTAAAACGAATTCTAAAACAACTCAGAAACGACAATTTTAGTTCTTGGGTCTCTTCACTAACGTCAAAAAATGATTCTCTTTGGAAGGCGACTCGGAATTGCTTAAAGCAAAAGCCCATAAATTCTCCTTTAACAACTTAACTGCCACACAGTTTCTTTCAAACTTGCCAATCTTGCCATGAGACCCAATTTTGGGTCTCATTAAACTTTCTTAGATTGCCATGAGATCCATTTCTGGGTCACGGACCACATGTTTTGTTTACTTTTATATCTAGTACTAGTTAACATTGATTCTGATTCTGATACCAGAATCAGAATGTACAGTGTTGCCACATTATTTCGATATCATTAGCACTCCACAAATATTTTTTTTCACGGAGTTATCACATTTTTTATCTAAATACATTTGTTTTAATATTAATATGGTCTTAACGTGAATTGTACTACTGATAAAAACCTAAATAGGCTCTAAATGCATCTTGTGTAAATAATTTTATCATAATATGAACATTGAACATGTGCTAATGTATGATAAGAAATATAACAGATTATTTTGAATTTTGTTTGTGATATTAGATTATACCTAATTATTATTTATTGCTAAGTTATTTTATTATTTTATTATGATTTATGACAACTGTCTAAATGTAAACTCTAATTGCTAAATCAATAACTCATACATATCGTAATATAAAATGTCTCGATTGCGAGATGAAGATATTGATGCTCTATTGGTTGATTCAGACTTCGAATTTTCGGACGATTCAGGAAGTGATTTTGATGATACTGATAATGATCCTGATTTTTTTGACAATAACAGTATTCATAATACTAATGATGGTGTTGATTCAGATGCAGGTAATTAAATAATTTTACTATAGTTTATGGGTGCTTCTCCATTGAAAATATTATTTAAATTTAACTAATTTTTTTTAGAATCAGATAATAATAATTCTTCAACCAGTAGTCTTAATATCACACATCAAGCACCAACACCAAGGCCAAGAGGTCGCCCAAAACTTGTTGGATCACCTGCAGCTGTAACTTCTCGAGTCAAGCGTGCTGATGATGGACAAATCAATAACTATCCTTACAACCCTGATTTAGAAGAAATAGGATTAAACACTGATTTGATAGACACATTATTAGAAGGTTCACCATTTGATTTTTTTAAATTAATTGTCGATGATAATATTATTCAAAAAATAGTAGAACATACAAATATATATGCTTTACAAAAATTAAGTTCAACAACGTTTTCAAGTCAAAGCAGAATGTATAAATGAACAAATACAGATGTAGAAGAAATGCATAATTGGTTGGGACTTGTATTATGGATGGGGTTAGTTCAGTTACCTGAAGTTGGCTTGTACTGGAGTAGTTCCCCCCTATTTTCTACAAACTTTGGGAATGTTATGAGTAGAAATAGGTTCCAAATCTTATCAACTATGATCCATTATTCTAATAATGAAACCAGTGATCAAACAAATCGGTTATATAAATTAGGAACCATAGTTGAAGACATTATGGTTAATTCCAATAATTGTATGTCTCCACATGATACTTTATGTATTGATGAATCTATGATACCATTCACAGGTAGACTATTCTTTAATCAGTATTTAAAAAACAAAAACACAAATATGGGATTAAGTTATTTAAACTTTGTATGCCCCCTAACTACACAATTAATCTGAAAGTGTATGCTGGAAAAGAAGTTACTCCGGAAACAAGTGTATCATCTAAAGTTGTAATGGAATTGATAGATCCATATTTAGATTTTGGAAGGACCCTTATTATCGACAATTGGTATACTAGTATAGAATTAGCAGAACAACTCGGACAACGAAAAACATATTGTATTGGGACATTAAGGTCAAATAGAAAATCAAACCCTAAGGAAGTTATTAATTCTAAATTAAAAAAAGGTCAACAGTTTTCATTAAGAAGTGATAGTAATGTAATGGTTTTAAAATGGAAGGACAAGAGAGACATTTATATGTGCAGTACCAAATCAACAAATAAAATGATAAACATAACTAAACATAATAAGGCATCTCAAAAACCAGAATCAGTTATTATGTACAACAAAGGGAAAGGCTGTATTGATTTGTCAGACCAAAAGGCTTCTTTTTCTAATCCACTACGGAGAACTATGAAATGGTATAGAAAAGTTCTTATTGACTTATTATTAAATGTTGGTGTAGTTAATGCTGCATGTTTGTTTAACTTGACTACTAACTTATCATATATATAGTAAAATTGTAACAATTCGCTCCATGTTCTTTCACGTTTTTTGGTCGGAAAAGTTGACCGTTTTTTGAATTTTAAAATCCTACATATGTAAAAAAAGTGCGTGTGTGATCAGGTGTCGTTGTTGAGTCTGATCGCTTAAAGTATTTTCCGTTAAGGACCGTTTTCTAGTTTTCTACATCACAACAGACTTATTAAGGTAATAATACTATATTATATCTTATCGTTATATTTCCGTCAGTCGGTCTGCACAGCGCACAAACGCGATAATAGTTATCCGGCACGTGTCAAGGTCAGATTGAACACTCCGTGTCAGTAATTTAATACCTGTTATAATACGGAACAGCGTTATCTTCAATTTGGAATCGTTACATATTATTATCACTCTTTTTTTTTGTCACATTTTTGCTGCAAATTGTGTTGCCCATTCAAGTCATTCAAGGCAGTATTTTTAGTTTAGTCGTTCAACAATTTATCTGTCCTGCCTTGTCATGAACCCGACAACCAAATCCAATATTTCTTCTAAAAGTAGCCCATTAGGAAGTGGTCCTGTTCTTCGTAGTGCCTCAAATGGTAGTACATCTACTTCGATGTCTAAACGGACCAATAATACTTATTCTAATGATGATTTAATGAAAGCTATTCTTGATATGCAGAATTCTCAATCCGTACAATTTCAAGAACTCCATGGATGTTTGACCTCTTTAAAAAATGAAATCTCTGAACTTAAAAACGAGAATATAGCACTTCGCCATGAATCGTCTGCACTTTCTGCTCGAGTGGCTCAGTTGGAATCAAAACCGGCCGTTACTTCGGATTCTGAAGTGTCGTCAAAACTACTTCGTGAAATCTCTGAGAGAAATTCTTCTGAATATAACGTAATTATATATGGTCTTCCTGAGTCGAATTCGCCTTCAATTAATCAAAGAATCTCTGATGATTGCGCTGAGCTATCTAGTGCTTTGTCACCCATTCAAATTGATTTATCTATTGATTTCAAATTAATTCGCCTTGGTAATAATAAGGCCCGGAAACCTAGACCGATAAAAATAATTTGTAAGTCAAAAGAAAATGCAGCTCAACTCATATCCGAATTCAGGCAGGCAGTTAGAAGTGGAGTTAGTATTCGTGATGATCTTCGAATAACCCGAGATAAGACTTCGTTGGAACGGGAGATACTCCGTACTGCTCATATAGAACTTGATAATAGAAACAAATCAGGCGAGTCAAATTTAGCAATATCCTATGTTAAAGGTGTCCCTACGGTTACAAAGTCACACTCAAAAAACGGAGTCACTGGTCGGGATTGAGACCAGTGAATAATCAATCATACCTTAATGAATTACTTAATTCTAATTTACATGTTTCTTTTAATCCAACCTGTAACAAATGTACTGATGCTAACCTATTGTTTGATAATTTTTTAATAGAATTTACCGATTTTATTAAAAAGCATACCAATTCCAATATTCCTGTTAATAATATTAAGTCGCATATTTTTTCAAATAATAATAAAAATAAATCATCTTATAATTTGCAATGTAACTTTCCTAGTATTAGTCTTAGTTCTAAGTTTAATCTTAAAATTATGTACCAGAATGTTCGTGGGCTCCGGACTAAGTTACATGATGTAATATCTAATTTTCCTATACTTAATTATGACATATTTATACTAACTGAGACTTGGCTCTCCTCGGATATTGTGGATGCAGAATTAGGTCTTACTGGATTTATAGTATTCAGAGCTGATAGAAATGTATATACCAGTACATGTACTAGAGGTGGTGGGGTCTTGATAGCGGTGAGACAGACATTATGTCCCTCTTTATTATGTTGTGCTGTACAGTCAGTCGAACAGCTATTTATTAAATTATCTTTATCTAAGAAATGTTTATTACTAATAGGAGGAGTATATATACCACCGTCAGCCCCGATCGAGTTATACACGGCACATGCTGAAACTGTTGATGAATTGTGGCAGTCTTCTGGGTGTAATATGGGAATTATATGTGGTGACTTCAATTTACCAAATGTTAATTGGCATAATAGTACTTCGGGATTGTCATTATCGGGTACCGTTAATGATAATGTCAAGGCAATAGGTGATATATATCGTTTTTTAGATTTTTTCACAAAATAATTCCATTAGAAACCATATTGGTTCACTCTTAGACCTTGTTTTCACATCTGAAATAGACATAGTTGTTGACACATCACCAGACTCATTAGTTACGCCAGATAAGTATCATCCACCATTAAGCATTACATATTCCATGCCCGATGTGCCACCTCAATTGGATGATCAACACTCATTTCGTAATTTCAATTGTGCCGATTATAACTCGATTACTAATAATATGAGCTCCATTAATTGGGAAAGTGAGTTTAACAATATTGGAATTGAAGCTGCAGCTAATCGTCTACAAACAATTTTAATAACGTTAATTGAGCAATATGTACCACTCCATATATTTCGTCGCTCAACTTTCCCCAAATGGGTAACACTCAAATTGAAACGTTTAATCATTAGCAAAAAAATTGCACACAAAAAATTGAAACAGTTCGGCACAATGCACTATCGTCATAGATTTTCTTTATTACGTGCTCAAGTAAAACTTGAGTCAAGGCTGGCATATGAGTCCTATCTAGGTAAGATTAATACTTCCCTCCAGAATGACCCACATACATTTTGGTCGTTTATCAATAATCGCCGAAATACATCAGTTATCCCTAATGTGATGCATTATGGTGACATTATTGCATCAGATATAGATATTGCAAATCTATTTGCACTTCTTTTCAATTCCGTTTACAAATCACCGTTACCCCCTCCAAACTGGAATACTGAAAATATTGGCATTAAACCATTTACATTTTTGCCTTCTAGACTTAGTATTGAACTTAATGAGGTCGAAGAAAATTTACTATCCTTGAGAACAACTAAGAGTCGTGGGCCTGATGGTATATCAGCCCAATTTTTATTTAATATTAGGGCACAGTTAAAATATCCTCTATTGTACTTATTTAACCTCTCATTAGCCGAAGGTATATTTCCATCAATATGGAAAACGAGCCAGGTAACACCTATCTATAAATCAGGAGACCCAGGGTCAGTATCTAATTATCGTCCAATTTCTGGTTTACCTCTAATTGGTAAATTATTTGAAAAAATTGTCCATAAATGTATTGAACGTAAATTTAAACTAGTCTTATCAACAAATCAACATGGGTTTTATGGCGGTCGTTCCACAACAACTAGTGCCCTAGAATTCTCAGCGTTTATCAGGGATAGCTTCAAAAATATGAGTCAAGTTGATGTGATATTTACCGATATCTCTAAAGCTTTCGACTCCATAAACCATATAGTGTTAATTGATATTCTAGATAAATTGGGTGTAGGTGAACCTCTGCTCTCCTGGTTCAAATCCTATATAACCGGTCGACGACAGTTTGTATCCTTATTTAATCAAAAATCCGCGGAATATTTAGTCACTTCCGGAGTCCCACAAGGTGGGCACTTGTCTCCACTTCTATTTAATATTCTAATAAATACTTTATGCGAATCTGTTGACATCAATATGTTATTATTTGCGGATGATGTAAAATTATTTAATTGCGTTCAATCTGTGAGTGATGCTATTTCGTTACAAGAATCGTTGAATAAGTTAGTCAATTGGTGTAATACAGTTGGGTTAGAGCTGGCAATCCACAAATGTAAAGTTATGTCTTTTTCGAGACGTCACTCAATTATTCATTATGATTACTCTATTGATAATGTGATATTACAGCGAATAAACCAAGTTGAAGATTTAGGTTTTATTTTCACTCCAACGTTATCGTTTGCACCTCATATTGACTGGATAGTAGGCAAAGCATTGAGATCATTAGGGTTTATAAGGCGACATGCAGGGTCGGTCATGTCTGTAAGATGTTTGTTGATATTATATACTTCTCTTGTTAGATCGATTGTAGAGTATGGATCTGTAGTATGGTCTCCAAGGACCAAATGTGACATTGTTCGACTTGAACGTGTTCAGCATCGTTTCTTAAATATGGTTTCTCGATCTATGGGCATTAATCATGAACCCCACGACTATAAACCCGTCTTAACAGCACTCAATTTATCCACCCTAAGCGAAAGAAGAAATATGAGTGACATTAAACTTTTGAATGGCTTAGTCTCTGGTGTAATTGACTCCCCAGACTTGTTATCTAGAATAGGTTTTCGCATCCCAGGTACAACCCGTTCTCGTGACCCCTACTACCTTGCTGCAGTATCCAAAAATTATTTGGATGATGATCCTCTAAGGAGAGCTATGTCTCTAGTTAATAATCATACTAGTTAATCATTTTTTCTAATTTAGGTTTGTTCAGTTACATTTAATTTTCAGGAGCCTACTATGTACTACTATAAAATTCTAATTTATTGATATTCAATGTGTTATGTTTAGATATATATATATGTGTAAAATATATTATATTGTATATTCATTAATATGTAATATTTGAAAAAGCTGTATGGCGTTTTAAATACAAATAAAAATAAAAATAATTATCATTATCATTCTGGTTGTGCCGAACCGGCAACTTAATATATTATATTATTATTATACATTTGTTTTGTTTGGGCCAAAAGGGCCGTAATTAGTACTATTATATTTTTGTTTTTTATATATTATTATACCATATATATTTTATTCTCGTTACATTGAGTTACCTGATTTCTTTAGTTTTAAGTCCTATACACATACACAGGTCGGTCGGTGTGTGACCGTATAATAGCGTAAGGGCCAGTTGTACCGTAGTCGGTTAAACAATGATTAAGATTTAATCTATGATTAAGGCTGGTGGGTCGTTGTACAGTGCTGGTTAACTATTTAATCACTGATTAAATGGTGGTCAAGATAAACGGCCGACCAAGGTCGGTTAAACACCGATTACTTAATTTCACGTTATCAAATTCATTGTTATCAATTTTCGTTTTCAAAATGAATCTTTGTTTTTTTTAAATAAAAAGTAATTTAACTTATCAAATTCAAAATTGCCTTATATGAAATAATTCAATTATTAATGAATAATGATGTATTACGACTTTGACGATAATTTCTTAATTGATGATTCTGACTTTGAGGATGAGGAATTTGAAAACCTTGCAGTTTTAATTGCTTTTCCTAGACGACAAAAAATATTTCGACCTCGAACTGATCATTTTACATGGTGGAGAGATGATGAGTTTTTTGATAGATTTCGTCTATCAAAAAGTACAGTTCATTATATAGTTGATATGATACGTGACCACATCAGCTCACGTACTGATTGGTAAGTTTTTACTTACAGTTTTTGGTTTTTCACTTATAATATTAGCTCACAATAAATTTTTAGGAACAATGCTGCGAGTCCAGAACATAAAGTTCTATTAACACTAAGATACTATGCAACGGGGTCAATGTTGGTTGTGTGTGGTGATTTTATTGGGATTCATAAATCAACTGCCAGTCGTATAGTGAAGCATGTGTCTCATGTTATTGCTACATTACGACCGAAATTTATCTGTTTTCCTACAATAGAAAGTGAAATCAAAAAGGTAAAACAAGATTTCTACAACATTGCTAAATTCCCTATGGTGATTGGTGCATTAGATTGTTACACTCGGTATACTTCGTTCAGTTACGCTGTTACTCGGTTGGTAAACAGTTTTAGGATATTATTTATCACAAATTTTATCAAATGTTATTTGTTTATTTAGAAATTATTTTATTCAATTAATTGTTTGCATCGTTAATTGTTTTGTTTAAAATTTTGTGAAATATATTTACTTTTGTTATTATGGAGCAACCACAGTTAAAAACGTACCGCTAATTTACGGCAATCGAAACAGATATTTTGATTGCATTAGTGAAAAATACAAGGCTGTTGTCGAATGCTTAAAGACTGATACAGTGAATATACCAAGTATGTATTTTAGAAAAATAAACCTACTCGGAGGTTAAGATATTATGTTTATTATAGCACATGGGATCACAATTAAACTGTAAATTTAAGAATTTTTGTTTATTTCTTATGTATCTAACTTAATAAAATTTTGTTTAGAATGAAAAAGATGCTTGGTTTAAAATAGAGTGAATTCAACTCTCAATCTTTTGAAAATCCCGTTCTGCAGCTGTATTAAAAATAAATATGAAAATATTAAACGTAATGTTAAAAATATGCTGATGAAAAACATTTAATCGAGGCACTGGGGAGACCAGCAAATCATTTCCTCAAACATTTATAAATACAACAATTGGGAAATATTACAAGTAAAATGACTGGGAGGCATCAGTTTATGATTCTGATAGCTTGAATAATGTACCAGTGACTCAAGAAATATTGGTTATATTAGTGAAGATGAGAATAAACATATCATAACAATAACCGACTTTGCTTTATCCAATGTCTCTGAAAATAATGATAAGTTCACTATAAATGGTAAGTAAAATAATAACTTTATTCAAAATGTATATTTATCTAATTAATTCTATTGAATAATATTTTTAATTAATTATTATCTAACTATAAAATTAAATTGTTTAATTTTGGAATAGAAACATTGAAAACAAGGCTATTCATGACATAGCATCAACCTCTACTTTAAAGAGATTAAACTACACACCACTGATTTAAATCAAGATCAACCTTACAGCGATTTCTGGTAGATATTTTAGTTTTCTAAGTGGTGAAAATTTTCTCTTAAAATTTTAAATATACTTTTAACATTCTTTAAAATATTAGGAGCTATGCAAAAATAATATCCTTTATGTATCAATTCTTTATAAAATTCTAGTTATACAGTTATGTTAAAATTATTAGTATAATCATTTTATAAATTAAATGTTTTTAGATGAAATGTTCAAAAACAAAGACTTATCAAGATAAAATTACCAATTGAGCATCAACTCGTGCATCTAACTAAGCAACAAGGAACTTTCATCAGACAGCACAAATTAAAAATGACCTAATTAGAAAAGCATGATTATGAAATGAAATTAATGACGAAAACATCAAATTGAGATACAAAATTTAAATTTACAAAATATTACATGAAGAAAAGAAAATCAACACCATAATATTAGATTAAAACTACCTAATTAAATTTTAATAATAAATAATAATATAATATATTTTCTAATACTAATTTACCAAAATGATACAAACTGTTATTTGTTTTAGTGGTTTATTTTTAAGTTAATAAAGTTATAACTAATACCTTATTTTACCAAATTGTGATACAAAGACTGTAATTTGTTTTAATAGTTTGTTATTTTTAAAGTTTATATAGTTTTAATTAATACTTATTTTCTAAATATAATACAAAGGCTGTAATTTGTTTTAATTGTTTATTATTTTATTAAGTATAATAAATACAAATAGATACATATTATAATACATTATTTAAAAATTGTTTTTATATCTAAAATACAATTAACATTCACTAACAATAATAAAACTTAATTAATTCTTACATTAAGTATTTCTTAAGCTATATTTGAAAGTATCTAAGTAGTTTTTGTGCTATATATTGCATTCCTTCAATATTATCACCTGTATTATTAAAATCTGTAATGTCAATGGATGATTGTTCTTCAGGACTAACTCTCGGTATTTTCTCTAAGTTACAAGCAATATTATGTAACACTGCTGTAGCTACAATTATACTTTGAGACGATGATACTTTGACATTTATGCCCATAGCTAAAATAGAAACCGACGTTTCCAAACTCCATAACTCTCTCTACAGTGTTTCTTGTCCGGATTAAAGATTCATTATATTTGTTTACAGCTGTGCAGTAATACCTGACACTGGATCTATAACTGTTAGAGGATTTCCAACAGGGTCATGACATAACTTCGTTGTGCATAACCACTGTCAGCAACTAAAAGACTATTATTCATTTCTGCCTTTCAAACTTTCCTCTAATTGCAGAATTATTAAAAATAGTGGAGTCATGTGAAGATCTGGCCACCTTGCTACAATGTCTTGAATCTTTAAATCTGCATCACATATAGTTTGTACATTAATAGAAAAAGCCTTTTCTATTTCTATGCTTCGGCATTGTCTCCTCCTGGTGACCTAATCTTCACATGTGTG